AGCTATTAGATGTTCCAGTGAAGATATCCATCAGGCAGGTAGATATATGAGTGCGGAGTTCAGGGGAGAGTTCAGGCTGCAGCTATAAATCTGAAAGTTGTCAGGGTAGAGATGGTGTAGATGGGATTTAAAGCCACGAGGCTCGATGAGCTCTTTCGCACTAGTGGTTCTCAACAGGGGTGATTGTCGCCTAGGAAACACTTGGCAGTGTTTGGAGACACATTGTTGTCACGACTGGGTGGTAGCAGTAGGTACTACTGGCATCTAAGGAGTAGAGGGCAGGGAATTGCTAAACATCCCACGATGCATGGATAGCTCCTGGCAACAAAGAACTATCTAGACCAAAATAGTCAACAGTGCCCAGTTGAAAACCTCTGATTTAGTTCTTAGATTTTTTTTTTAAGGAAATTAGCGTACATGGAAGTGAAAATAGCTGTGAAGCTTGAGCCTTGGGGTCCTCCAGTGTTTTGGGTTAAACGTGGGCATTTGCAACTAAATGCACTAAATACACATGAAACACAGAGCCCAAGACAAAGCAAGCCCTCGGCAAATGACAACTGTCACCATCATGATGTTCTTAACTTCACAAAAGCAGTTCTGATCTGTCTGCCCCTTGGAGTAAAATAAATCAGAGCTTGGGAGCTCTCTAGAGGATCTCTGTTCCACCCCTCTGTGTGTACACATGGGGAACCAGACCCAGGGAGGGGAAGGGACTTGACCGAGATCCTTTGGTGGGCCAAGAACCCAGGGTTCATGCCGATGACTTTTGATTATTCCCATTTTACAGATGAATACGCTGAGATTTAGAGATTGAGTCACTTGCCTCAGCCTACGTGGTGGTTCCACAGCAGAGCCAGAGTCAGAGTTTGAATAGCTTCATTTCCAATCTGGTGTTTTTTTAAACAATGACAGTAGCAGCAACAGCCATTGCTACTGCCACTGCGGGCTGGGTGCCCACTGGGTGCCAGGCACTGCTGCACACTTCACTGAGGCAGCCGGGTCAGGAGCTGGGGCAGGGGGCAGCCAAGGAGACGTGAAGCAGACACCTCACCCCGCCCCCCTTCATTACACGCTCCTCTTTGTTGACGTCGCCACCCGCACCTTGCTCAGGCGCCTTGGCCAGTAGCTGTTGTGCTCTCGGCCAGCTGTGTTGTCATCTCCTCTGTCCCCACAACTCCCCTCCCACTACATTATTTGCCATAAAAACAATAATACAATATCAGTAAAAGCCTTTTTTTTTTTTAAATCACCACTCTGAATCTCACCATCTTAGCCCAACAGCTGTTTAATTTTTCTGTCTTGTTCAAATCTCTGCCCATATGTCTGTAGTGCACATTTTTACACGCTTGTCATTGGGATGTGGAAAGCGTTCGGGATTCTGCTTCATTTCCTTGTGCTGTTCCGTGTGCTGTGCTGGTTATAATTATGTTTATTGCTTGCAGAAGTCTGTTGAGTGGCCCCGGATTGCTGGGCTGTTTGTTTCCAGATCACAGTTATTATAAATAATACTACATTGGAAAACGCAATGCTTATAGTTATGTTTTTTTTTTCCTCTTGAGTCATATTCTTTAGCGTAAATACTCAGAAGTGGTTAAAGAAAAGGGGATTGACATAACCTTGTTTGGAAAGATGATTTTACTGCTGCTGGTGTCCCGTGTCAGTGCAAGTGTTTATTTATGAATTACTATAGGCCAGACAACTTGGCCCGTATCATCTCATGTAACTCTCATATTTGCCCTTCACGTAAGTGTTATTATCTCCATATTTTTTAAAATCCAGGAACCTGCTGTCAGTGTTCAAAGGGGTTAGTAACTTGCCTGAAGTCACAGAACTAATGAGGGGTAGAGATACTTGTAAACTTTGATGGACTATGACCCCAGTCTCCTTTTCATGAGATAAAGTTGAAAGTTTTTTGAGGTTTTTTTTTTTTGGTACTGGCGATGGAACTCAGGGTCACTCAACCACTGAGCCACATCCCCAGCCCTGTTTTGTATTTTATTTAGAGACAGGGTCTCATTGAGTTGCTTAGCGCCTCACTTTTGCTGAGGCTGGCTTTGAACTTGAGATCCTCCTATTTCAGCCTCCCGAGCTACTGGGATTATAGGCATGTGCCACCATGCCTGGTTGTTTCCGAGTTTTTGCTTCCTTTTGAGCATTACTAAAATCAACACATTTGGGGCCAATTTAACAGATGTTTAACATTACCGTCTCATTTAAATGTGCATTTTGACCTCTGATCTTCCAGTGGCCTACAGCCCTGTGGAATTCAGAGGAATGGGGCTTCGAAGTCCCCAGCTCTGTTTTGTCAATGTGTTGGCAGCTGAAGAGAGTATCTGGGTGCCAGATGGTTTTTAGAAACAGAGAGGCTCATGGATCCGCACCCTTCAATCAACTTATCAGTCTGTAGTTGACTCATGCATGATTTCAGCCCCTTGGATCTGCCCAGGTTTGATCAGGGGAGAGAGGGAGGGAAGAGAGGAGTGGGCCCTTTTGGAGACTCCTCCGTCCAGTGAGGGAAGTGCCAGCTTTCACAGCTGTTGGAGAATGGGGTGGTCGAGCATAAAGCTGGGAGTGTCTTTCTCCAAGTCACAGGTCGCTATCTTGGGCCCTGCTCGGTGGGTTTTAAGAAGCTTGAGCAGGTTGCCGGTTTTTGGAAATCTGGACATTTCACATAAAAATCTTGGAATTTCTGGTTTCTCTTGAAAAACTGGGAGGACGGGGCCACCCTGAGCTTGCAGTCCCGCTTGGCAGCAGTCACTGAGCCGTGAGGAGGAGCTGCCTCTCTTGGGTGGGATACCTGGAGTCCTGCTTGCTGTCGTCTCCTCCCAGCTGTGTCTCCAGTTTACCTTGAACTTGGTGTGCTCCCACCAAGCCTGAATGGACTGGGAGGGGATGCAGCTGGCACCCCAGGGGCTGGAGGTGGTGTGGGCCCAGCTGCAGGGGCCCGAGGCCCACTCTCACTCGTGCAAACCAAGCAAGCAGCAGTACTTGGCCTCCATGGACACCCTGGGGCCGAGCACCTGGGCCAGCTGGACCATTGCCAGAGAGTCAGAGTCAAGCAGGACTTAGGAGCAAGATGATAAGTGTTCACAAAATCTGCCCCCCGACTACCACATGAAAACAGAACTCATAAAACCCCAAACAGGGAAATCTCCTGGGACAGGAATGGGAGAGAAAACTACACATGGCAGGCTGGGGCTGGGGCTCAGTGGTAACACACTCGCCTGGCACGTGTGAGGCACTGGGTTCAATTCTCAGCACCACATAAAAATAAATAAATTAAAGGTCTGTCTGTCTGTCTGCCTATCTATCTATTTATCTATCTATCTATCTATGTATCTATCTGTCAAGTGTGTGCAGCCAGCGGCCCTCAGGTCATGGTGAGCAGCAGGGACTAGCCGTTCATGTCCAAGGCGACAGAATTTACCTTGCTGTGGGAGGAGGGTACTAGGTAAGAGGTTGGCCTTATTCCTAGCAGGAGCTGACATTTCTCTCTGATGGCCAGATATGTGACTTTCCTGGAGCCACTTGCCTGGAGCCCAGGGAAGAAAGGGAAGTCTCCTGGGTAGAAAAGGAAACAGTGTTGTGCTGGGTATGCACTTCCCAAACTGTCCCCTGTGTGCTCCCCTGTTGCTCCCCTGTGTCGTCTTTATGAGGGGGCATTCTGAGCAAACTGATGGTATCTCCTTAAGGAGCTAAGTAGCAGGACTTGGCCGTCTATTCATGAAGGGATCCTGAATACCCTAACTGGGGACACACTGCAGGTGCTCAGAGGACTCCTGGGTGAGGAAGCTGCATGTCACAGAATCAGGGTGCAAGAGAGAAAGGGTCATTAGAAGGCCACTGTGGCTTCTTCCCTCCTCTCCCAGGTGTGGGAACAGAGGCCGGAGGTTTGCTTAAGATCACATAGCTGGGCAGCACAGATGCAGGCCTGGGCAGAGTCTCGGGCTCCTCCTGCTTCACTTTGGAAGCCTGAGGTTTCCTTCTTTATAAAATGGAGAGTCACCTAGAGACTGTGTAGTACTGCCTCCTCCTCTTTCTGTCTGTGTTCTAAGGCATGGCTGTGACTGGTTCCTTGACAGTGAATTCCACCTGGAGGGTGGGGACAGCTGTAGGTGAGAGCAAGCTTCTAGAGCCAGCCTGTCCAGCGTGGGATCCCAGCTTCATCACTTACTGCCTGTGTGAATGGGCAGCCCATTTACTCTCTGTGCCTCTGTTCCCACAGCTGTGTGACAGGGCTAAAAGCTCACTGGACTACAGCAAGGATTAGAGATAAAGCATTTTAAAGCCTCTAGAGAAATGTCTGCCACATTCAAAGCCCCCCAAATGTTTACTGCCATTATTATTATAGAGCCGATTGTGTTTCCCTTTGAACTCACCATTGAACTTGAACCTTATCTTTAGAGTCTACCTAGCATGTAACAGCATGCATTTCTGTCTGTTTCCCAATCTTGTTCTGGCTCATTTAACAATTTGGCTCTCATTTTCACCATCCTCCTGGTTCTACATGCTACTGTATCTACACATGACTGTAAACTGTTTCACAATAACTTTGGAGAAAACAAGTTAAGGAAAACATTGCCCTACACATTGATTTAGACTGGCCCAGGGGGTAGTCTAGAATGATACGGAATTAGAAGGTGAACCGTGCTATTAAAAAAATCACAGCTAATAATTTTGAAGGAGTATTGTGCTAGCCATTGTCCTGCATGCCTTACCTTAAACGTAACAATGATCTTGTGCAGCAAGGTCTATTATTTTTTATTTTGCAGTTCAGGAACTGAGGCTCAGAGAGGTAAAGTGACCAAGGCAGAGGTTGCCAGCTGCACACAGCATAGTCGGGATTCCTGATTCCAGAGCACACTCTGTTACACCATGTTCAGTTCTAGGGGGTCCCTTGAGCTCTTGGAGGACAAAGGAGGGATAGATTCTGTCAGCTGATTAGTGCTCTTTGTCCTTGTCCCTCATCCTCCCTTCCCATTTCCTCTCTTTTCTCGCAGAGCCCATGCGGGCACCCAAAGGCCTGGCTTTCGCTGAGATTTTGGCTCGCCAGCTGACCCTGCAGTGGGAACCGCTGGGCTACAACGTGACACGCTGCCACACCTACACGGTGTCCCTGTGCTATTACTACACCCTGGGCAGCAGCCACAACCAGACCGTCCGCGAGTGTGTCAAGATGGAGCGGGGCGTCAACCGCTACACCATCAAGAACCTGCTGCCCTACCGGGACGTCCACGTACGCCTGGTCCTCACTAACCCCGAGGGGCGCAAGGAGGGCAAGGAGGTCACCTTTCAGACTGATGAGGATGGTAAGGGCGCCAGCCGCGATTCCCAGGGCCCCCGAGTTCCTCCCCCACATCCTACGTCTGAGACTCAAGTTTATTATACAGAATTTTTTGCTTAGGATGAAACAGCTGTATACCACAAAGCATGAGAGCTAATGTTATTCTCTGGAGGACCGTGGGTTAGAGTGGTATAATCTCATTCTTAAGCATTTGGAAGAGTTTAGTAGGGAAGGGATTTGGGACTAGAGTTTTCTTTGTGGCAAGGCTTTAAATAATAGTTTTAATTTGAAAATAGATACTGGAATATTCAAGTTTTCTTTGTATACTGTGATTTTTCAAGAACTTTGCTCCTTTCACCTAAATTGTGAAATGTCTTGACATAAAACATTTGTTTATAAATTCTCCTTTATTTAATACCTATATAATCTGTAATCTGTAATGATAGCCCCTTTTTCTTTTCTGATACAGATAATTTGTATTTTCTGTCTTTTTTTTCTTATTTACTCTTGCTTGGGATTTATAAATTTTGTTAATTTTTTCAAAGAGCCAACTTTGGCTTAGTTGATTTTTTTCCCCCCCCATGGAATTGAGCCCAGGGATGCTCTACCTCTGAGCTACATACCCTGCCCTTTTAAAATGTTTTATTTTGAGGCAGAGTCTTGCTAAGTTGCTGAGGTTGGCCTTGAACTTGTGATCTTCCTGCCTTGGCCTTTGGAGTAGCTGGGATTGTGCTCATGCACCTCTGGGCTTGGCAATATTTCATTTTGTATTCTTTCTTTTTTTAAAAAATATTTTATTTGGATTTGATTTGCTGATTTTTTTTAGCTTTTGGGGATGGAAGATGTCTTAAGTCAATAGTTTTGAGCCTCCATTTCTAACATGCACTTAAAGCCATACGTTTCCTTTTAATCCCTTCTTTATGTGTCCCATGAGGTTTTTTTTGTTTGTTTTTAGATGTAAATGGACACAATACCTTTATTTATTTTTATGGGGTGCTGAGGATTGAACCCAGTGCCTCACTCATGCTAGGCAAGCACTCTACACTAAGCCACACCTCCAACCCCAGGTCTTTTTTTTTTTTGGTAATGCTGGGAACCAAGGCCTCTCAGATGCTAAGCAAATCACCGGGTTATATCCCCAGTTTTCATTAGTTTTGACATGTCTCATCTTCATTATCATTCACTTCAAAATATTTTCTAATTTTTTATAATTTCTTCTCTGACTCAAGAGTTATTTAGAATTATGTTGCTTAATTTTTAAGCCATTAGGACTTCTAATTATCTTTTTGTTATTGATTTCCAGCTTAATCCCACTGTGGTCAGAGTACATACTCTAAATGTAGCCTTTTGAAATTCGATTCTTACTTTATGGTCCCAGCATGTGGTTGAATTTTGGTAAATGACCCATGTGTGCCTGAAAAAAAAAATTGCTTTCCATCATTTTTGGGGACAGTGTGCTAAATCTACCAGACTCATCCTTACTGAGCACTTACTGTACATCAGACACAATGCTGAATGGTTTTCATCTATTAATGGCTACATAATCGCCGTGACAACCTATGTGATAGGCTACTGTCTTCACTTTACAGATGAGGTCACATAGCTAGTTGGTAGGCAGCAGAGCTGGTTTCAAACCTGGCCGTCTGGTTTCCAAGTTGTCATTATCTATTTATTTATTTTAAATGCTGGGGATCAAACCCAGGGCCTGGCTCATGCTAAGTGTGCACTGAGCCCCACCCCCACCCCTGAGAGTTGTCCTTCTCAACCCCTGCAGTCTCATACCAGGACAGGTTCAAAGCCTTCCCTTTAGATTCCTGCAACCCCCAGGTGCCCCTAAGCTCCCTGGTGGAGGATTTTCTTGCTGCCCTGCAGTTTTGTGCAGTTTTCTCTTCTGCACAGCACTGGCCCAGACACAAAGGCAGCCCCTTTTTTGCTTTCCACAAAACTCCATCACCCAAGGCAGTGTGTGTGCCCCATGCTGAGCATCCTCCAGTGGTAATGAGGACCGGCTGTGATGATTCTGAGACGTTGCAAGAAACCTCAGGCTGAACATCAGACCACCCCCTTTTCAAAGTCTGTTGACCTCTGCATCCCCCACTTCCGGGTTTGTTATGGCTGCCTCACCCTTGATGGTCTCACTTGGGCCACTTGATCTTCTTTTTTCTCCTCTCCCCTCTCCTATAATGGTGGTGGTTGTTATTGTTGTTGTTGTTATTATTATTATTATTTTTTACTTTTCCTCAAAGTATTAATAAAATACTTACAGAAATTGTATCTTGGGGAGGTCCTGAGGATTGAACCCAGGGAGTTTCATGGGGCCTCACTAAGTTGCTAAGCCTGACCTTGAACTTGTGATCTTCCTACCTCAGTCTCCTGAGCCGCTGGGATTACGGGCGTGCACTATGGTGCCCAGTTTATAGAAAGCATTTTAAATGGTCAGCCAATGAATTGTCACTTGAAGAAACCCATGCCCAGACCAGGAAATGACATTGCCAATGCCCCAGGAAGCTCCTTTTTTTGCTTTCTCCTAGTCACTACCTCCGAAGGGTAACCATTATACCTACCTGTAACAGCAGATTGATTTTCTTGGTTGGGACTTTATCGAATGGAAGCAGAGAGCATTCTTTATCTACCCAGCTTCTCTCTCTCAACTTCATGCTTGAGAGACTCAGCCACATCGTACGTGCTGTCCTGGGGAGTTCAGTTCTCACTGCTGAATAGCTCATTATGGGGATAAATATACCGAATTAAAAAAAAAAAAATCCTGTTTACTGTTGTTGAGTGTTTGGGTTGTTTCCGATTTTTGTCTATTTTGAAGAATGCTTATAGTTTGAAAACATTTTCTCTTGGTGGATATACACATTTCTGATGGGTTTACTCCTCGGAGTGGAACAGCTAGGTAACGGGACATATGTTTCTCTTTAGTAGATCTTGCCAGACGGTTTCCCAAAGTGGTGGGCCCAGCGCACACTCTGCTGGCAGGTGTGAACATTTTGGTTGCTTTGTGTCCTCATCCACACGAGAAATCATCTTTTTTTCATTTTGCCATCTTGATGGACAGACAGTGGTCTCCTGAGCTATTTGTTTTCCCACAGAGCGGCTTACATTGCGTTGACTGTCACCTCCGCTTCCGCCTTCTCTGCCTGAGGACTTGAGCTTCCCCTCAATGCTCTGTCAAGGTGTTTTTCCAACCTGAGGCTGTCTTCTTCCTGAGTGAAACCCCTCTGCTTGCCGTTAGGAGTACACATTAAAACAGAAACCCAGACAGAATCAGACCATGCCCGGAAGTGTTTATGCTCAGCTCTTAACAGTATTTATGCTTGGGTGATGCAATTGTAGGTGTTGTTAATTTTCTTTATGTTCAGTTAGACTTTTTTTTTTTTGCATCGAACATATTGTGAATGTAATTAGACAGTTTTAGATGAGAAAACACTTCCAACCCGTACTCCTGATACCCGAGTGCAATTGTTGTTTTCATTTTTCTGGCAAATATCTATATTTTCTGACAACTTCCCAGCTGGAGCCAAATAGGAGCCGTCACACATTCCTCTGGGGGCACCGTGACCTGCACAGCAGGGAAAATACCAGCTGCCCCTTTGGAGAGCTCGGGAATGAGTCAAGTCACAGGAGGTTGATATTCCCCTTCAGGCTTTATGTACATCATGTTATCTAGGCCTGGTTAGGGAGGGGGTTTCGTCATCCCCACTTCATGGATGAGGAAACCAAGGCTTCACGAGGGGAAGAGGAGTTCAAGTGGACGAGCAGGGGCGTGGTGAGGTTGGAATGTGCATCCAAGTATTTGGAGCCCAGACCCACTTTCCTCTGCCTTTTCCCCCTCACAGTGCCTGGTGGGATTGCGGCTGAGTCCTTGACCTTCACGCCACTGGAGGACATGATCTTCCTCAAGTGGGAGGAGCCCCAGGAACCCAACGGCCTCATCACTCAGTATGAGGTGAATGGAGGCCCCGTGGTCAGGGGCCGTGCCCTGTGGGTTCCTTGTTAGGGGGTTCTGGGGACATGAATGAGAGGCAAGGTACCCAGGAACCTGGCCTGAGGGGAACCCCCAGTCCTCCTAGCCCAGCCGGCTCCTCGGGAGCTGGGTAGGTGGGAGTTGGCAACATGGGTCCCTGTCCCATGCTGGCCTGCCTGCCTGCCCGCCCTGCCCCCAGATCAGCTACCAGAGCATCGAGTCCTCAGACCCTGCAGTGAACGTGCCGGGCCCCCGGCGTACCATCTCCAAGCTCCGCAATGAGACCTACCACGTCTTCTCGAACCTGCACCCAGGCACCACCTACCTGTTCTCCGTGAGGGCTCGCACGGGCAAAGGCTTTGGCCAGGCAGCGCTCACTGAGATCACCACCAACATCTCGGGTGAGCCCTGCAGCCCAGCCTGGCCCGAGGAGGTGGCCCAGAAGGCCAGCCGCCTTCTGTGAGCAGAGGTGGGACGGGGTGGCCTGAGGGTGCTTCCAGAGGACTCCTGCTGAGATAAATGTGCCTTCCGGGGTTGAAGTCGGGGGTCAGGGAGGTCTAAACCCCAAGAGGCAGGAGGCCCCTGGTGGATTCAGAGGTTGATGGCGTTAGTGCTCAGGGTCAGGGGCCAGTGAAGCCAAGGAGATCAAGACATCAGGGAAGAGCTCTGAGGGCAGGGGTCAGGGGGCTGAGGGGCTGGCCTTTCTGATCCAGTGGCCAGGTGACACTCCATGCTTGTGTCCCCGTCCCCCTCTCCAGCTCCCAGCTTTGACTATGCTGACATGCCGGCACCCCTGGGCGAGTCGGAGAACACCATCACCGTGCTCCTGAGGCCTGCTCAGGGCCGTGGCGCGCCTATCAGGTGGGACAGCCCTTGTGGAAAGGCGGGAGATCAGGGCCACAGGGAAGAGCCCCTTGCTCCGACCCACAGCCCCCACTCAGGCCTCAGTCTTCCAACTTGGGCCTCAAAGTGGAGGAGGATGTTCTGTGCTCCAGGCACGTGGAACGCCAGTGCTCTCTCCCCTGAGTCATGGGTCTCTGAGGGTAACTGTCAGGACTTCTCTGGACACTGTCCAGCTTGCAGAGGGACCTGCCCAGGCCTCTGCAGGGGGCTTCTTCAGATACCCTGGAGAGGTGAAACCGCAGGCCTCGTGTAGTGTAGCTTCGTTCCTGGAGATACAGGAGTGGGCTCTCTAGAAGACAAGTGCAGCTGGCCACAGAGGGCTGCCTCTCTGGGGTGGCTGCGTGCTCAGCTTCTTTGCGTCTTTCTCCGCAGAAGAAGCTGGGCTGCTGAGGCCATGGTGGGGGAAGGTTCTGGAGTGGAGATGGGGTGTGTGAGAGTGGGGCGAGCCTGGGTGTGTGTGCGTGTGATGTGTGGTGTGGCGGTGAGTGTGCATGAGGGTTTTCAGGCACGCGTGTGCACGTACTCCTATCAGGCAGACACTGTGCAAGGGACTTACATGCACTAAGTCACTTTGTCCTCTTGCAACTCTGGAGTGTGTTTTACCTGCCCCCAAGGCTGCATGGCCATACAGGCTAGGATTTGGACTGTGGGTCTGTCTGCAAATCTTGTCTCTTATGGATATCCCCCTCCTCCTCATCTTCCCCTCTGGTGGACCCTTTTCCTCCTCAAAGGTGCATGCACTGGGAGAGGGTGACAACCTTCAGTGGTGGGGGTGTGAGTGTCCTCGTCGCCTCCAGCGAGGGAGTGGGCTGCCCAGGTGCCCCAGGAAGTCCCTTGCCTCTTTCCTGCTTCTTCCTCCTGTCCTCACCTGCTCTGCTGCAAATCCTGTCCTCACCTGCTCTGCTGCAAATCCTGTCCTGGGAAGATTCTGAGACCCTCAGGAGAGGCTCAGGAAGAACTCAGGGCTCTGCAGGGCATTTTGCTTTTAGCTAGGGCCTTGGGACCCTTGTGCAGCCGAATGAGGAAGGAGCTGGAACATGCTTCTCTTTTTCTTATCCCCTTGTGGGATTTTGTAAGCTGAACTGGTTGGAGTCCTGCAGGGACCGTGACAAGGCTGCATGGGGCCTTTGGAGGTGGGACTTTGTAGGAGGAGGAAGGCAGGATGCTGAACGACCCTGGGCCTGTCCTCTTACCTCCCTGAGCCTCTCTTATTGCACCATGGGGGCCACTGCCAGTTAGGATTTTCTTTGTATGACTAGTGATAATTGCTATCATTCCTGGTGGGACTTGGGACTGGGAGAGGCCTGACCTCAGTTTGGGGAAGCAGAGGCTGAGAGGGGCTTGGACTGGTGTTTGTAATGGGTTAGTGACAGGCAGTGGGCTGGTGACCAATACTCTGGGATGATTCCTGCAACTTAAAAGCTCAAAAGTAACAACTGGAGATCCAGGAAAAGGCTTTTCTGCTTTCCAGAGCAGAGGCTGTGAGTAGGGGATGTCACACGGTGAGACATGACTGAGGCTGTCATGGGAAGTATTTAAATTTGTCAGCATTCATGTATTTACTCTCCACAGAGGATTTGGAGGAGCTCACAGCAAAAGCCTATTCAGTAAAGAGATAAAACACAAGCTCAGACATCGGAGCAGGGAGCACTAGTCAGGGCCAGTGTGCAGGAACCGGGAACAGCTGGCTCTGATTTGCAGAGGGGCTGCCTCAGGGTGGAGGGTATGTGAGAGGGCATGCAGGGGTGTCCTCGTTTGCCTAGTGACCTTCACTTCCCAGAGGAGGTCAGCTCCAGGAAGCCCAGATCCCCTGTACCCAGCATAGGGCCCCTTGTTTGAATGCAATAAAAACTTTCTGAATGAATGAATGAAATTGTTCTAACCCTGTTCATAATTGGCTGAGGCCCAGAAGGGAGCCATTGGTAGTTTTGGTTTCCCAGGTCCCATGTCCCACATAGGAGGACTCACTGCGGCAGGGTAGGCCTTAGGCTTGGTTCAGTTGAGCAGGACCACGATTCTCTCAGTCCTGCTTACTAGTAGGAATGACAGCTGGCATGCACGGGCTGCTTCTGACATGTGTCTGCTCTTTGTGTCCATATCCTGGGCTGCTCCCATTTTACAGAGGAGGAAACTGAGGCCCAGGGAGGTTAAGTGACTGGCCCAGCTAGGAAGGAGCAGAGTTAAGATTAGTCCTCAGGTAGGCCTGACCCCAAAGCTCACACACTCAGCCACCAGACAGCTCTCCTGGTCCTCTGGCCTGCTGTGATCACTTGCGCTGTCCCCTCCTCCCTGTCCAGTGTGTACCAGGTAATTGTGGAGGAGGATCGGCCGCGGCGGCTGCGGCGGGAGCCAGGTGGCCAGGACTGCTTCCCAGTGCCTCTGACCTTCGAGGCGGCGCTGGCTCGTGGCCTAATGCACTACTTTGGGGCCGAACTGGCGGCCAGCAGTCTGCCTGAGGCCATGCCCTTCACCGTGGGTGACAACCAGACCTACCGTGGTTTTTGGAATCCACCACTTGAGCCCAGGAAGGCCTACCTCATCTACTTCCAGGCAGCAAGCCACCTGAAAGGGGTGAGGGACTCATCAGGGCAGAGGTGAAGGAGGGTGGGGTACTGGGTGGAAGGCTAGGGACACCCTGGAGTGGCCCTTCCACAGAGGGCTGAGACCCAGACCCTGCCCCTTCCTATAGCCTGGCCTTCTTCCCTTGATTCCTTACCTTCTGGCCTAGTCCTTGTCCCTTCCTGAGGCCCTTCCTTCTGCCTCAGGTGCCTCTGTTACCCAGAGATCATCATCTTAGGTTCCCCCTTTCTCATATTGAGGTCTAGGTCTGGTCTCCTGGCCAGGCCCCGCCCTCTCTCTGAGACTCCGCCCTATTCTCCAGGCTCCTCCCTCCTCAAATTATTCCTTCCTTGATGGCTCCTTTCCTGCCAGGCCTGTGGACATGGGCCCACCCCCATTCCGGAGGCCCCACCCCCATTCCTCAGGCCCCACCCCTTCCCATGCTGTCTCAGCTGATTTTCTTAAGGCACTGCCCTGTTTGCAGGCCCCTCCCTCTGGGCCACGCCTCCCATCCTGCTGGGCAAGAGTATCCTTAGTTTTCATAGTAGAGGGCACCCTGATTAGGCCCAAGACACCGTGAGGTTCCTGTCCTGGGAGGGTGAGACCTGTTTTCTGAGGTGTTGAGGTCCTTCCCCACCTGTGCTTCCAGGAAACCCGGCTGAACTGCATCCGAATCGCCAGGAAAGGTGAGTCCCTCTGAGCTCTTGAGGCCTGCAGTGGAGGGTTTCTTACCTGTGGCTTTGGGGAGGGGCTCCTGGCCACCCAGTGGCTGTGGGACCACAGTAGGGCAGCAACAGTGGTTCTGAGGTTAGGAAGGACTTCCTTTCTCAAGGGCTTCTTCAAGGGTGGGCAGCAGGCAGGCCCAATTTCCTACCCCTCCCCAAGGTTGCAGAAGGGGCCCTGGAAGGGGCTTGGGACAGACCTGGGGAGAGGGAGCCGTTTTGCTGGGCACTGGTTCTGGGTTCTATATAAGCCTCTTATCCAGTGGGGAGAGGTAGGACGGTGGGGGACCTGCAGGCTAGAGGCTGAACCTCTTCTAGACATGGAATGTGGTTGGTTACCATCCTGAGATGCCCTAACCGCACCATAGGTACATGGCTTTTTCCCCTTCATCACCTTGCAGGAGGGCTGGGGGTGGGTCTGAAGGCCCAGGTGTTCTCCATCATCTGCCGAAAGTTGGGCAGGATTTGAGGAAGCGGAGAGGGGCAGCTATCGCTGACAGCGGGCAGGATAGGTGAAGACGTGATGAATGTAGAAGGCCCCGGGAACGTCCAGGAGACAGATCTGAACTTGAGGCAGGAGGGGCTGTGGTGCTGTGGGTGTGGGTGTGTTTGTGCAGCCTGGTCTGTTCCCTGGGGCTCAGATCCCTGCAGGCAAGGCCTGGTGGTCCCTGCTCGCCTCTGACCCTTTGTCCTGCTTCGTTCTCAGCTGCCTGCAAGGAAAGCAAGCGGCCCCTGGAGGTGTCGCAGAAGTCGGAGGAGATGGGGCTCATCCTGGGCATCTGTGCAGGGGGACTTGCTGTCCTCATCCTCCTCCTGGGAGCCATCATTGTCATCATCCGCAAGGGGTGAGTGAGGCCAGCACCCTGGCCCACCAGTGGCTTGTGTCTCTCGAAGGCCTGGTTGGTGCAGAGGAGCTGTGTCTGGGTGTGTGGGAGGAGAGGTCAGCCTGGGCATTGGGCCTGTAGATGGACTCAGGCTGGATGGTAGGAAGCCTGACACTTGGTAAATGGAGCTGCCCCAGTACAGCATGGCTGGAGTGCAGGTCTGGATGGTGCCAGGTGCCACTATCCAGGGAAGGCCATTCAGTGCTTAGTGCCAAGGAGCTGTGTTGGAAGTCAGCACTGCCTTCTTGTGCCTCTGGGAGCTGTGCCAATAGGAAGGGTATGGAGGTGACCTGACTTTGAAGCCTCAGCCCCCTGCAGACCGTTAGCCAACTCATCTGCCTTGACCATTTTGTTGTGAAATTGACCCTGAGCAGGGGTGTCATGTCCCCTTCCTTTCAAACCAGGGCTCTGAGCCATGATTTTCCTCAGTACCCCACCTGCCCTGGTCCTTGCTGCTATGGATCCCTGAGTGAACCCCACGATCTCCCAGCCTTTCATTTGGGTAGGATGTGTTTCTTAGGGCATTCTGCAGAGGGCCGCCTGAGTCCTGCTATATCTTAAAATCTAGAACTTAGAATCTCAGAAATCTAGGATTGGGGATTCTAAGAATCTCAGAAGTTAGAATTCTAGTGGCTTAGAACTCAGAACAAGAGCTGCTGGGTAATTTAAGGCCATGTAATCGAGTGGTTTTGAATTTTTTAAAAACAACAGTACCTGTCTTTAAAACATGCATGCACAACAACAAACAAACAACCCCCCCAAACAAACAAAACTCCCCAACCCTCTGTGTGCTGGGAGCCCAGTACACAGAGCAGATGAAGGCTGAGTAGCAGCTCTAGTTGGAGGCAGGTGGGGACTCCTGAGACCCCTCTGCTTGCTAGCTCTACCCCATCTCATTCCCCATGAGTGACCCTAGAACACTGGGGTCCAAGCACCTTAGTTGAAACAGGGATGCGGCGCCCCAGTGGGGGTGGTAGACTAGCCCAAGGTCACCCAAGGAACCAAAGACAGAGCCCGTGTTCTCTCTCCCCACCTGGGCTCTGGCTTCTGAAGTCCCTGCTGCTGCCAGGCTGGGCACACATGGGCGAATTGGCACTGGATCTCTGAGCTGCCAGGAGCAGATAAGTAGGATCCTGGGAGATGGTGGAGAGCTGGCTAGGGCCACCTTGCCTGAGGCCAGGCACCAGCAGGAGGGAGCAGGGTATGCCAGCAGAATCGGGTGGCGTGGGGGGTGGCCTATCCAGGGCTGTAAGCTCTGATTTTTATCTTCCTAGTCTCTGCACAGCTTGAAGAGACAATATATTTTAAATTTATTATTTAATGAGTAATTACTGTGTGCCAGGAGCTTTACACACACCATCCATTAGCTTGTCAATTATTGAGCACCTATTACGTGCCAGACACTGTTCTGGCATTCAGGGTACATCAGAGAACATTTCCTTCTTGGATCCTGATAAAGGAAGCAGGTCTCACTCCCTTTTTACTGATGAAGAAACCCTAATTAGAGCAATTTGCCCACGTCACTCTGCTCAGTGGCAAGGTTTGATTTCAGCTCAGGCCTGACCAGACATGTGAAGGGCTTCATCCTGGGGACCCCACAAGCAGCAAGTCCCTGAAGTTCTCCCCAGCAGCGGGACTGAGACCCGACTCTAAGTGGGGCGGGGCTGGGGGTGGAAGAGGCCTGTTCAGTTACAGGTGTTATTTGAGGTCCAAGAAACTACCCTCAAAGGAAAGAGGGTGGGGTATGTGGTGGTATCCAATGCTCCGTGCCCCCCACAAATAGAGCATTTGGCTAGGAGGGGGCTGCTCAGAGGTGCTGTCAGACCTTACTAGGAGACCCACAATTCTGCAATTGGTACCTGACACATCCCCATTTAGGACCCCCCCGCCCCCCAACGCCAGTTTCCTCTAAAAGCCACACAATAACACACTGGAACTTTACCAGATCCCTGATTCTACTCTGGCCTTGGGCCACTGAGCTCCTCAGGACTCCCTCTGTTTACATTGTGGCGCGTTGTGTAGCGGAGCAGCTCTGGAGGTCTGGGGTGTGCAGATCAGCTTGTGCCGTGGATGTGATTGACAGCAGAGGAGGTCCCCCACCCCACTCCAAGGCCTGATGTGGCCTTGGGAGAGAGCACAGATTAGGTTCCCAGGTCAGAGTCCTGGGCCAGGTGGGGTCTGCTCTGACTCTGCCATGACTCCCGTGACTCGGCACCCGCTCTGTGCAGCGGGAACCCGCCCTGCTCTGGCTTCTCACTGGGGTGAGCTGCGGGACCTGGGGCTCCTGATCCAAGCTGGGCTTGGGAGCCAGGAGGGGGCGGCCTGGCTCCTTTAAGGGACCCCACCCCCAGGGCAGTCAAGTGGGAGAGGGTGGGCCCTGAGTGTGCCCTGTGCTCCTGAGAGATCCTCTTCCCCCTGCCCTCCTGTCCCCAGCTGTCCCTTCTGGCTGAGCTGTGTGCAGAGGGCTGCTCCCTCAGGGCCCTGGGGCCTGCAGGGGTGAGCGGGGAGCCACCCTGGGTGAGGGAAGGTGCCTCTGAGTGTGTGTGAGTGTGTGTGAGCGACTGTGAGTGTGTCAGTGTGAGTGCCTATGTGTGTCTGCATGTGTGCGTCTGACAGGAGTGCCTGTGAATGTGTGCAGTGTGTGTGTCTCTTTGAGTGTATACACGTGTGTGATCTGAGTGTGCTTAAGTGTGCGTGTGCCTGTACATGAGTGTGCTTAAGTGTGCGTGTGTTCTCCCTGTGTTTGCACGTTTGTATGTATGGCCATGAAGCTATGCATCCCCCCCTTGGCCCACCTCCCCACTCCAGCAGCAGCTTGGGGAAGGTTCTGGAAAGGCCTCTGGTCCTGGTCCACAGCTGGGCCAGCCCTTGGAATAAGGAGGCCCTTGGACCTGTCCAGGTCCTAGCTGGCCCCTGCCCTGCACGGGAAGCCCCTGGGCCTCCCTGCTGCTGGGCATCGCCCCAGCCCAGCTGGTTGCCAGGACGCAGACCTGGTGCCCTGTTCTCTTTGCACGCTGCCAGGAGAGACCGCTATGCCTACTCCTACTACCCGTAAGTAGCGCACCTGGCCTAAGTCCCTCCAGGGCCTCCCCTCCTCACGGCCCCCTCTGCTGCCGTCTCCTATTGCATCTCCCTCCTCCAGTCACAGTCCCCACACATTGGTTGTGTAATCAGCTGGTCACCCCTGGGCAACTCACCTCACCTCTCTGAGCTTTGGTGTCGTCTCCACGCTGAGCTGGGCTCTGACCTCCTCCTGGACCTGCTGCTCACCTTGTCCCCAGTGTCACACTGAGCCTCTAGCTCGGGGGTCACAGGGCTGCTGGCAGGCGGTTCCCCCTCCCTGTGATGTGCACAGATAGTCTTTGAACCTAAATGCAGAACTTCTGGAAGTGTCTGTTAAATTCCATCTCCTAATCTGAGACCAGCCAGAGGCCAACAGAGGGTTCGCGTCCCTCCAGGCTCTGTCTCCTGTGGGTCTGGGGGTTCGTTTCTGTGGCTCTTCTTTCCCATAGGCCGAGAGCCCTGGGCTGGGAACAGCCCTGTGGTGCTCCCCTGGAGACGCCTCTAGGCCTGTGTCCATGTTGACAGATGCTCTTGGGGCCACTGTTCAGCAGCTTGGCCAGCTGCCTGCTGTCCGCCTGTGTCTGTCTTTCTGTGTTGGCTGCTGTCTGGCCTGTCCCTCCCTCTGCTGTCCCCTCTCCCCCTCCTGACTATTTTCCTTCATACCCACCCTCCCCCTCATCCTCAGACTCTTCCTCATCAGGGTGATCGAGATCACAGCCACAGAGCCTTCTCACCTGTCCCCAAAGGGCTCTTTGGCACCAACCCTGGTCCCAGTGGGCTGATGCCCAGAGCCTGGTGGGTGGGGAGTGGGTCATCTTGTCCGCCTCTGCGCCAGGCAGCTCTTGAGTCCAGGACACGCTGGCTGGAGGTTGCTTGCCCCGAAGGCATTCGTTGTCCTCCTTGTCCCCATTGACGGTCAGTGTCTCTGAGCACTTATGACTTCAAAGTCCTTACTCAGGTCTGCGTCACATCCTGCACGCTGTAGCCAAGCTGGCGGGCAGAACCCTCCCCTCCAGCCTTCCCTGTGGCTGGGCCCCGTGGGCTCTTCTCAGCTTCCAAAGGTCCTAAGTTGTTTCCTCATTGCCAGTTTCTTTGTCCTCCTCCATGGAGCTGTGTCCCCTGTCCCCTTGTCCCCTCCACCTCTGTCCCCCACTTTGCTCCAAGTCCCTCCAGTCACAGACTGTGGTCCCTACCCATGAACCTGGGGCTGAGGGAGGGGCTGCTCCCACTTCTTCCCTCTGCTGCCGTCAGTCGTGGGATGGACTGGTGGGTGGGGGGTCTGGATCCCACCTGGGTGGGCCATGGTGAGGCTGTCCCAGGGGCTTCTGGGAGTAAGAAGAGCGAGGTGGAGTTTGCTTGTGCAGGGAGACTCCTGAGCTCCTGCTGAGCCACGCCTTGTCCTTCAGGAAGGCACTCCCAGCCCAACCTAAATGCCCTCAGGAGAGCATGGCCTCTGGGGCTGGACCTGGCCAGCCTTCCTCCTCGTTTGGATGCCATGTCTTTTGCTACTACACCATGTTAGATGCAGAGGAAGCTTCAGATCCATTTCCAGAGAGAGTGAACAGAGTTAGGAACAGGTCCCAGCCACCACGAATCGCCTTTATCTTAGGGGGCAGCAGCTCTTTGGGTCTGGAAAGTGAAAGCTGGAGGCAGAGCCCCCTGTGCATCCAGAGATGTGCCTAGGATGGGTCCCCATTCCTGACCTCGTCTCCCTGACGGCTGGGCCTCCACTCCCCGCTCTGGGGCTGTCCAGCCCCATAGAATACCTGTCGTCAACCCCCATCTGCAGGAAGCCAGTGAACATGACCAAGGCCACTGTCAACTACCGCCAGGAGAAGACGCACATGATGAGCGCCGTGGACCGGAGCTTCACGGACCAGAGCACCCTGCAGGAGGACGAGCGGCTGGGCCTGTCCTTCATGGACGCCCCTGGCTACAGCCCCCGGGGTGAGTGTCCGGTCCTTGAGCCCCTCCCCAGGCTGTGGGACTCCCCACCTGAGCCAACAGAATGGTGTCCACCCCACTTCAGATGAGTTGTGAAACTCTCCTAACCACGCCTAGCTTGGATTCCTGCACTGGCCAGGGGACTCCCAGAAGGCCCTGGGGGTGTGTTTGCACCGTGGACTGGAGGCACTTGCAAGGAGCTCTGCTGGCACAATAAGGTCCACTGTGACGGACCTTGTCAAGAGGAGATGCTGCTCTGATCAGAGGGGACCAGAGGGGCTTCACCCTCTGTTGAGTCTTGTTGTGTGACAGGAGGGGATCCAGTGGCTGAGAGGGATCCACCCAGACCTGGGCTGGTCTCTTAGATCCCTTTTTTGGTTGTATGACCTGGGGAAAGTTGCTTACCTCGCTGCACCCATGTTTTCTCCTGTGTGAAATGCAAATAGGGATCGTCTCTGCTGGTGAACAGGTCCCTTCAGGGCAGATGTGAAAACTAAATGAGTTCATGTGTGTAAACCATTTAGTGCTGGGTCTGGCTTCAGAGTACAGTGAATTAACTGTTCTGTGCTTCATTTTTTGTTTTCTGTTTAGCATTGATTCGTATAAAAGAAAATATATAACGCTTTGAAAGTCACAAAATCATCATCATACAACAAATACCAGTGAACCCTGCTGGTGAATTACAACGGGAGTCAGGGATTCTTCCCCAGCTGCCTCACTCTTAGACATACATGATGGCCTTGAAATTTGCATTTATAATTTTCTTGCCTTTTGTGAGTGGTTTTACCTAGGTGTGTGCATGCGTCACCCCGAAATGCATTGTGGATTGTCAGTCATTTTCAAGTTCATAAAAGTGAAGTCTCTCTTTCAGCCTAGCATCATGTTTCTCAGATGTGTACATTTTATTTTTCTCCAATGGATACTTTTTCCATTATACGGCTGTGTCACAGTTGGGTTCTCCATTCTTCCATCCTTGGCTCTCGTTTTCTTGTTATCACAAACGAGGCTGCAGAGGATGTTGTTAGGTGAACCTTGAGGAGCTCAGCATATGTGGTTCTAGAAGCCGAACTGCTGGATTGTGGAGTCCGTGCTTGTCCAACTTAATGATGGTACCGAGCTATATCCCAAAGTGTTTTTGCCTGTTTCCACTCCTGGGAGCAGCATCCAAGACTTTGTGGCTCCAGGGCGGGACCAAAATTGCCAGCCTTCTTCGCTTTCCTAGAAACTGGTTTGTATAAAATGGTAATTCTCTGTCATCCTAATTTGCATTTCTCTGATTACTAATGAGGTTGAACATATTTTGAAGTCATTATCGGCCATTCAGGTCTCTTTCGTGAAATGCCTGTTCGTATCTTTCACCGAATTTTCTGTTGGTTTTTGTTTGTTGCTTTCTTAGTGGTTTTTAGCAGTTCTTTACATATTTAGGATAATAATCATTTGTCACATATGAATTGCAAATATCTTCTCCCAATTTGTTTCTTATCTTTCTGGGTTATTTATAGTGTCTTTGGATGTACAGAGAGTTTTTATTTTAATGTAGTCAAATTCGTCAGCCTTTCTCTTTGTGATTTTTACTTTTTGTTGTTTTCTTAAATGATTTCTTCCCTAGCCAATGTCATGAAGTTGTTTTTTTTTTAAAAAACTTTTTTCCTCAAAGTTTTAATGTTTTGCATTTCACATTTAAATCTTTATCCATCTGGAATTGATTTGTGTGTGTGGGATGAATTAAGGATTTTCTTTCCTCCAGAGGGAATAATTGGCTGTCCTGACATCATTGCTTTCTTTCTTTTTCCTTTGAGATCCTTTGGGTCTTGCTCCGTTGCCCAGGCCAGTCTTGAACTTGGGCACTCCTCCGTTTCCTGAGTAGCTG